ACTTTAGGGCTAGTAATAGTTTGTAATAGCTGCAACAATGGGCTCAAGCACAGCAACAATTGCGAGGATGGTGCAGGACTGGGCAATGTTTCGTTCTGTTGGGTCCCTATGAGTCAGAATTGACTCGATGGCACCTAACAACAATAGTTTTGTAAATTTCTGTTTTCTATTTTGTTATAAAATAAGTTGGTTTGAGGTCAATAGTCAGAGGTTTGGTGTCATCAAGAATGCTGATCCTAATCCTCCTCCCCCGGTCTCTGAGCAGTATTATGCACACAGGCCTTCCTCCATGTATGCTGGGTAGTGACAGAGGATGTTCCTCCACGGTCTGTGTCACCTCATCTCTTCTGAAGCAGTTTTCTGGTTGCGACTGAGAAAAGACCTTTGCAAGACTGTGAGAAATGTGCTTTGTGGCATATAAGCTATCCTCCAGAAAAGATAGGGTCAATCTATAGGTTGAGTGTAAATTAAATGACTTACTAGTTTCAGGTCTCTATTAAAAGTAAAGCAAAACACCAAACAAGATACTTAACTCAATAGCAGCTTCCAATCTGAGAGTGCAGAAACTTCTTCACTGACTATGGATGAACCCAGTCCCCCAGAAGGGTAAAGGATTTGCTTGATTCCCCATTCAGAGTTCTGTGACCACACAGCCCATGCAGTATCCTTTTGGAAACTGGGATCTAGATAGATATGGACATAACCCACTTCCATCTATGTCTTTGAAATCCATTATTTCTTACTCTAGTTTGCTCCTTGGCTCTGACACCTGGCTTGAATCCTATCTCTCACAGCTACATGACCTTGGGCACATTACTTGGCCTCTCTGTGCCTCAGCTTCCTCATCAATAAGATGGGAATAATAATGATATCTGAGCTCACAAGGCTGATGTGAAATTTAAGGGAATTAATTCATGTAAAACTTAAGATCAGTTGGCATATAGTAAGCACTCAATAAATGTTAGCTGTTATCAGCATTATCATTATCTCACTAAGCATTCCTCATACTATAAAACCCAAATCTTCTTTCAAGTTGAAGAGATGGAGATTAACTTGAATGGAAGAGCTGGAGGCAGCTTGCCAGTAGGATGCCAGTCTGTTGCAGGTCCGATGCCCCTATGTGTGGAGGCAAAAAGGAGCTACGCTGTCTTGGGTACAGACTTCCAGCGCAATCTATAGCTGAGAACCAATCTCCTTGTCCTTATGCATATAATCACAAGTTGCAAAACAGTAACTGAAAATATAATTTTAGAAGTAGAATATATGTTTTAAATAGCTTATTATTATAGCCTATTTTATATCTATTTTTTGGCTAGCCATTTTTTTCTTTTTGCACATTAGACAAAGATAATACCAGTGAACAAAGATAACAGAAATGAACATACAATTCTATCCAACTAATGGCGATCATTTGAAATGCTGACAGAAATAGTTTATCCAGGCCATGTTTACTCTATTTTCCTCTACACCTGGCTTGGCAGCATTCTATCTTTCTCACTCCTAGTAAGTTTATGTTCATTTGTGGTACATTTGTCCAAGGTGAACATTTTTTAGTTAGGATGGTACTTACTCTATAAACATGAATTTTTGTATGCAAAAATTTAGCTTGACTTACACGCAGGGGGAGCAGTTTGCCTAGTTCAGCGGTTTTCAAAGCATGGTCCTCAGACAAGCAGCACTAGTCTCACCTAGGAGCTTTAGAAATGTAAACGCAGATTCTCAGGTCCTAACCCAGACCAACTGAATCAGAAACCCTGGGGGCAGGGATGGTAATCTGCGTTTTAACAAACCCTCCAAGTGATTCTGATACACACTGAAGATTGGAACCACTGTTCTAGCTCTTCTAATGGCAATTAATAAAACTATAGAGCTAGAAATGACTGTCTTAATGAAAATAAAACTTAAAATGAGAATTCTTCTAGTTTTTATTTTAAATCATATCCATCAAGTATCAGATGCCCACTTCTGAGCCTTGTATTAAAGTGGATCCTAATAAATAAAATGACAAAATATTGGATGCCAAATACCTCCTTAATAGGACTACTATTTATATGAAAATCTTTCTTTTAATATTTTAGTGAGATCTTATTTTTTATAGGTTCACCCCAATAAAACTCACTTCGCAGTAGCTGAAAAAGGATCTTCTCCAAATATTATCATCTATGAGTATCCTTCTCTGAGGCCATACAGAATCCTTCGAGGTGAGTTCAAGAGGATCTTTAAGATATTCCATGTTCAAGGTTAACAAAATTCTGAAGATATAACATTATTGAATCAGCTGGGGTTCTGGAGCGAAACAGAGCCAGTAGGAGATATATAAGATCCATCTGTCTGTCTGTCCATCTATCTCTGTCTGATTATCTATCATGTATCTGTCATCTGTCTATCATCTCTCTCTCTCTGTCTATCTGTATGTTTTTTGTTAATACACTTTTGAAAAGAAATAAATGTTTCCCCTACTCATCAGACTCCCATTCATCCTTCCAGATGGTACTGACTTGGGATATGCCTATGTAGACTTTAACTATAATGGCACCTTGCTGGCGTCTGTTGGCTGCAGCCCTGATTATACATTCACCATCTGGTATTGGGAAGAAGAGCAGCCCATACTGAGGACAAAAGCTTTTTCCCAGGAAGTTTTTAAGGTTACTTTCAACCCTGAAGATGATGAGCAGCTTACTACTTCAGGAACAGGCCACATCAAGTAGGTTGGGTGACCAACACAGGTGCCAGTAGAAATCATCAGAGTATTTTCTGAGAGGATCTAAGAGCTGGAGACTTTTTTGCCCTTGCTGTTAACATTAGGATAATTTCTAAATATGTTAGTTTTCAAACTAACTAGTAGTGTAGCTTTTCAAACTAGATATGTGGGATTTTATCACTGAAGATTATACAGAAGAAAACAGACTTTTTAATTTAGCCTACGGCCTTCTTGTAGGCTTCACCTCCTGAAAGAGTTTGTACAATTTCTTAACAAGTAGCATTGGCATGGTGTTTCCCAGTTCATATGGAGCTGTCACATCTGCTATTAAATTTGTTGTTCAGAGCAATATTGTATGATGGATAAGTCATTTTGATGTCTCTGACTCAAAGTCATCATCTGTAAAACAAGACTCACAAGAGTATCATTCCTGACAAGGGACCCTCAGTTACTGAATGGTGGCAGAGCCTGCTCTTGACCTCAGGTCTTTGAACTCTAAATTCCATACTCTTTTCACTGTATCATATCCCGGTCTCTTCCTAGGATGGAATGATTTTGTCCTTTTCCATCTTTGTTCTATCCTGTCTCATGCGTAACAGCCCACCACTCCAGAGCTGCTCATAACTTGATTCCCAGTATGTATTTATGAGAAAGACATTCTTATTTATCCTAAATTCCTCTTTATTCCATTTAAACCTGGTTTTATTCTTATTCATTTATTAGAAGTACAGCATAATTGACCAGATTTTTAAGTGAAATCTTGGGGGAATTCTTGCTAGGTATAGGCTAAAAAATTCCAATTCCTTACACTTCTCCACCATTTAGTAAAGTGCATATTTTCTCTGCACTGTATCTTTGGGGAAAAGATAGACATTGAACAACTAATTTCATGTGTGAAGTGCCAGGAGAGAAAAGCAGAGCGTATGGAAGCATATGATCAGGGGACCTAATGTAGCCTAAGAGAAGGATGTTGGCCATTTAGGCTTTTGGCTTCATGTTATTCACTTGTTGATTCCTTCCATCATTGATTTTAGGTCTAGCTGGGTAGGCCAGATTCTTTTTCTGACAAAGTCTTCATCGCTTGGACCTTTTATTCGTTCAGACTATTAATAAGAAAATGCTAGTAATATCTAACATTTGGAGCCCTGGTGGTGCAGTGGTTAAGAGCTGTGGCTGCTAACCAAGAGTTTGGCAGTTCAAATCCACAGCCACTCCTTTGAATCACTATGGGGCAGTTGTACTCTGTCCTATAGGGTCGCTATGAGTCGGAATTGACTCTAAGGCAACGAGTTTTTTTTTTTTTTTTAATCTAACATTTATTGATTGTTTTTATGTGTTAGGCACTGTTCTAAGGATTTTTCAACAATCTTATAATATTTCCATTTTATACATGAGGAAATGAAGGCATGGTGTGATCAAGAAAATCACTCAAAGTCATGCAAGTAGTAAGTTAGAATTTTGGAGGAAAGTTTTACATCTTCTAAAACAAAGTTGCCCAATAGAACTTTCTGCTAGGATGGAAATGTTTTGTACTCTCCAATATGGTGGCCACTAGCCACATGTGGCTATTGAGCACTTGAAATTGGCTAGTCTGACTGAAAACCTGAATTTTAAATTTTATTTAATGTTAATTACTTTAAATCTAAATTTAAATAGCCACACTGCCTAGTGGCTACTGCATTTGACAGCAGAGGTCTAAAATATAAGACCCACGAAGGCAGGATTTTTTAATCTATTTTGTTCACTGCTTAATTCATGTTGCCTAACAGGTAGTGAGGAGCCCTGGTGGTGCAGTGGTTAAGCACTCGGCTACTAACTGAAAGGTCGGCAGATTGAACCCACCAGTCGCTCCGTGGGATAAAGATGTGGCAGTCAGCTTCCGTAAAGATTGCAGCCTTGGAAACCCTATGGGGCAGTTCTACCCTGTCCAAAAGGGTTGCTCTGAGTTGGAATTGACAGCAAGTGGTTTTGGGTTTAGATACTTAGTAAATATTAATTGGATGAATGAATGAATGAAATAATATATAAATGACTATGAAATATTTAATGCTTGGATCATGTTAAAATAAAAATAAACAACATTTCTTTCAGGTAGATTCAATCTGTTTCTTGGTTTGCAGGTTCTGGGAAATGGCTCTAACATTTACTGGTCTTAAGCTGCAGGGGTATCTGGGTCGATTTGGCAAAACAGCTACTACTGATATAGAAGGCTACATGGAGCTCCCTGATGGGAAGGTGAGCAACTGATGTATATATACATACATACTTATATATATCTTTATCCATTATACATTCTTAAAAGCTCCTCCAATGTTATCCATTAGTAATAGCAGATACTGTAATTATAAATATAATGAACATTTAATTCTTATCTATAAAACCTCTTAGATTATCAATCAATTTTAATTGATATGTTTCCTTGAAATTTTGACAATCCATATGTGCATATAATTTTCCATTTCTTTTTTTTTTACTAAATATCACATACACATGAAATGTGCAGACATTTTCATATATCAACATAATGACATAGTGACATAGTTGTTACTTTTGATTATGTCATGGAATCACCAATGTTTGTCTTTCTTCTTATTTTCTTTGCCGTGATATTTTGAGAGGATTTACTGGGTCAAAGGTTATATACAATCTCGTGGCTTTTGTTTTTATTGTCAAATTATTCTTCAGAAAGATTGAGCCACTTTACAGAGGCATCTACAACACTGCAACTTCAATCTGTTAGTTTATTGTTTAATATCGTTCGTTTACTTTCTTCCTCTTACAAAATTTATAGGCATATTGTCTGAAATGATAGTTAATTAGAATCAGTTTTTCATTAGTACTGTGTTTAGTTTCCTATTGGGATGAGTTCTATAGTATTGTTTGTGATCATATTTATAAGTAAATACTGGCACACAAGTATTACGCTACCTTTAAGGAACAAATAGCTTACTGGTGGAATAGTCTCAATTCGAAAGTATGGTGTATAGGAGGAAACAAAGATCTTTGGATGCTAGCTAAACTGTATATCCAGACTATAAAATAATGGCAGATTGTTCCAGCTTCAAATTCTGAATACTGTAAGGATTCAGCTAAAATGGAAATGAGTACAACCCTCATGAAAAATGTGGTATAAGATATATCTTTAAAAGATTCAATAGAGTTTGTGTAGCTATAGGGGAGAAAGAAGCCATTTTAAATGGGAGAGCCACAAAAGGAAATGTTCAGAGCTGGAAATAAATATTACACATTTAGAGAGTAGATCAAAAGAAAACACTTTTATGCTGGGAAAGAGTGAGAAATGAGGGTGAGTAACATGGTGGGGTCCTGTTATATGAGGAGTTGAACAGCCAGTCATAACTATTGTACATTTGAAGAGTAGAGGTGCAAATTAAAGAGTGAGGTAAATCTGGCCACAAATGCCAGCCATAGAGGAAGGAAAGCCTGGGGCCTGGAAGGCGAGCTCAGAGGGAAGCTGTTGGTGTCATCTAAGAAGAGAGGATGAGAGCCTAGACTTCTGTCAGGACAAATGGAAAAGGGAAGCTAGACATGGGTGACAGTTCAGAAAGGAATGCCTTGTAGGCTTTGGTGGCTTTAGTCACTGGACAGATGATGCA